TACACCTTTAGATTTTCGAACGAACGTCCAGAAACTTCGAGTCTATCTAGTACTTTCAATTTATGATTGCATCCCTTTTATTTGCCCAATCATTATTTCGATTAATATATTTCGATGCATTTATTCGATTCTTCGATGTATAATGCAGTACATCATGTGCAAAATTATTGTAGACAATTTTTTCTTTTTCTATTCTATTTTTACCTCCATAATTACTTAACTTATTGATATATCTCAAGTTTCATTATTTCAAGTACTTGAACCTCTTTTGAGGTTTTAAAACTTGTTATATCTAAATCTTATCGAGAGTATATGTCTTCTTAATAAAATCATATTTGTTAATTGCTCCATTTTCTTTTGAAATTTTTTTGTATTAGAATTGAACACAATCACGCTTCAAACTTGCCATAAATATATCAAATTAATACTAACAAATTATCCTCGTAGGACATCAATTCACGGTGGAACATTTAAAACTAGTGCGTGAAATATTATTTATCTCTTTGATCAGTAAATGTGTTTAAATAAATTATCTTCCAAACTTCTGGTTCGAATGATATTTTGGGGGAATTTAGATGATGATGCGTTTATATATTATTTTCAACTCATTAATCCTCTACCTTATGCTAAGAGAATTGTCTAATCAAATTGACAATCATTTTTTCAGCGTTAGAATATCACCTATTGGGGATAAGGATTCAACCTATGCATTTATTCTCAGTATTCTTTACTTTTTATTTTGGTGCAATGCAGTGGATTAATTGTGCTACTAAATAATCTGATAAAAAAATTGGGCTCTTAGTATGAGCCAATTATAACAGGAAGATCTATGGTATTGACATGATGCGTAATAGCATTTTCTAAATAGAAATGTGAAGTACTTTGTTTTCAATTAAATTAATTGAATGTGTTTAACAAACATTAGTGTTAAACCATTTATTGACATCTCAACCAACAAAACTTAAAATGTTGGGATTTAGAATCACTAGCATTAACAAGACAATATTTTGGTTGTATAATTTGAAAATTATGCCTATAATTTGAGCAAAATTTCCAGGTTGCCAACACAAAGCAATTATTTAATATTTGTATAAAGTCTATTAAATACAAATAACATTTAGATGGTCAACATCATCGTATGATATGGCCCCATTCATCCCCTAATTAGTTTTTAGAAATGTAGAAAATGCAATCTCCATTTAACTAGTGATATTTAATGATCAATTGTCGATAAAGAGAACAAATAATATATAAAAATTCATTGGATTGAAGAATATTCAGGTCTTTGTTGAATATCTATTTGAATTTTTAATTCGCATCATTATTGATCAATTGATGATTCAACTGGTCATATCAAATAATAAAGTCAAATTGAACTTCTAGTTCAGTATAAAATATAATTCAATTATTTAATTTAAAATGATACAATTAAATCTTATATAATTATATCATTCAAGCAATCAAACAGATCAATGACCTCACGACATCAGTTATATGTTTTCTTTCAAGGATAAATATAAATTCAAAATGATATATTCTTCGAAAAGATGCTATTTCGAGAGCACGTTATTATTAATCATTGATTTTTCAAGAGTAATATATCAATATTCTTTTAGAATATTGAAAATTATAATTCATGCACTTCAAGAGCAAAAAAATAATATTTTTCTTGAATATTAATAATAGAGAAAAATAGTTTCCTTTATAAATTACAACCTAGTATTGAGTTGTATAATTTGTGTTTTTCAGAAACACAATGAGATATATATTATTCGGAATGTGTGTTATTTCGAGAGTACATTATATTTTATTATTATTTTTTTCAAATAACAATAAATCAATATTCTCCTAAAATATTGAAAATTACACTCTACAGGAGAAAATAATATATCATTATGTAAAATAATAAATTATATAATAATTTACTCTTCAATAGTAAAAACTAATTTATGTTAGATATATTTATTTTACTCTTATGGAGCAAGTAAAATTTCACTAAAACATCAATTTATAAATATGTGTGCAAAAAGATAGACACGTGAATAAATTGGATAATTTAATTCGTGATTTTACATAGAAAACGATCAATATTCATCTAAAAATATTGAAATTATAATATTATGCTCTTCTAGAGCAATTAAAATTCTTTTAAAATATTAATTATAATGTTGTGCGACTTTAAGAGCAATAAAATTTTGTAATAGATATATCTACGAGTAATAATCTTCTGAAACGTTAGAATAGTTGTGTTATTCTTTTCAGGAGCAATAACATATTATTGTTTGAAATAATAAATTGTAAAGAATTTACTCTTCAGGAGTAAAAACATAATCTATGTTAGATTTTATATAATTATGCTCTTGAACAGCAAGTAAAATGTAACTAGAACATTAATAATAATTTACTACTTCAGAAGCAACAATATTTTATAATAGATAGATATTTGTGTACTAAATATATACTTGTATTAAAAAGAACATGGACGAAGTAATTAATCGAACGATAAAAAAATTCCTGTTTTATAAGTAGTACAAATGTTCTCCTTTTTCGTTGTTGCTCAAATAATGAACACTTCTGCTATATCATAGAATTAAAAATAATAATAATAATATATATATATATATATATATATATATATATGGATGGGGTTATGCATCTAAAATATAATATTTTCCCATTTAATAGACAAATTGTGAATAGAACGGGGACCTCGTGCAGTTGAATGAAATCATGGACGGAAGCACAAACTTTTTTTTTTCTTTTTCTTTTTTCGTACAAGAAAAAAAATTGCTTGAAAAATTTTTTTTGAAATAGAATAGAAAAGAGTTTAAACATCGTGCTGATAACGTAATATAAATTAGAGAACAAAAAAGAGAAGCAAATAAACTTACGTGTATTTATTAAGAACCAAAGCCCCATTTTATAAAGAATGATTAAGATACAATAGGAATAATTTCTAGAACTGTAAGGGTACGATTGTCATTCATTAATAAACTTACCAGTTGCAACAGATTTTTTATTTTTTTATTTTTAAAAAAAATCATAGTCACAACTCAATTTCGATATAAGAACTTTTCAGCCGCCATTTGCTACACCGCTGCCCAATTAACGAATAATATTTCACGATTTTAGATTTTATGACAACCATTACAATTGTTGAAGTGGAAAACACAAATTGTTTGATTATTGACTATAAATGAGGCATTATCTTAAAGGTCAAACATTTATGTTGTTCATTATTGTTTTTATGCTTATGTAAGATAGTCGAGCTTGATAACACTAATCTTGAAGTTTGAGAATTCGTTTGAGCTTTTAGGCAATATAACAGTCAAAGTGGGGTAACAACAGCAGCAGCAACAGCAACAACGACAATAATAATAATAATAATAATAATAATAATAATAATAATAATAATAAGTTATTAATTGTTTATCTCTGCTTTTTGGGAACGTATGACGTTTAAGCAATAGAATAAATATTGATTAAGATTAGGCAGTTGAGATCTTTAGAATTAAGTTATAGAAATCAAATTTTGCAGATTTTGGTGAGCTGTGATTTAGCTGATGGAATTCATTTATTGTTGTGTACCGACTCCATTAAACATATGGAAATATTTCTCTATATTTTTTATATTGTAATTTTTTTTGGGAGTGCCTTAAATTATTTTCTTAGTTCTGTGTGTGTGTATACGAAAATGATCTCTTAAACACCAATGTTTAGCTTATGTTAGATATCAGTGACATGACATGTCATTTAATTGGTGAATAAATTAATGATAGGTCCCATGTATTTAATAATTCACCAATCAAATGATTGAATAAATTAATGATAAGTCCCATGTATTTAATAATTCACCAGTTAAATGATATATATATATATATTAGTGGAGTATGTATCAATCAATCAATTCTTCACTCTGTATTCTGCACATGCATAAATAGATAAGGTTTCAATGCTAAAATTTATCCTTTAAAATTTGGGACAATTTTCACTATGGAAAATATATATTGTACATTATCATTTACAAATTCTTTCAAACGGTTGTGCTTATGTAATGTCGGTTGTAAAAAGAAATGGAGTTTCCCTTTTTTTTTTTAGTGGGTGATGAGATTGCTACATCATTTATTGGTAAACAAATCTGAAAGTTGTAATGTACATATAGCACTGCCATTTCACTATGTCATAAGGTTATACTTTTATGGGAGTAGGTGGGGTTCAATTAAGCTTATGAAAGAATCTTGATGTGTAGTAAGTTGTCTTCTTACAACTAGAATGAGGGACCATTCTGCACACTATCTTGCCGAGGATGGTCCAGTCCTAGCTTCTTGATTCATATGGTTCTACTCGGGTTGCGAAGGACCAAATTAATTTGTTTAACGGTCATTTTAAATGGATTCAAAATCAGCAATCTAAGACAAAAACTCCAACATAAACATCATCGAATTAAGTTAATAATGTGCTCGTTTTGGAGAAATTATAATGAAATGAAGTAGTAGATTCCACAAAACGTGAATATGGTGGAAGCCATATACGTCTAATTAAAATTAATGTTTGATTTTGATTTCAAATTATATTGAGATTTTAATTTTTCCAATTGTTTTCATTTTCACACTAATGTCTCCGACTTATTTTGAGAAATTCTTGTCACCAACATATCATTCATTTGCTCCTCGTCCCAGATGGCACAGTTTCCGTCCAAAAAAATTGTTAAGAGAGCCAAAAAAAATAAAATAATAATAATAATAATAATAATAATAATAATAATAATAATAATAATAATAATAATAATAAAAATAATAATAAAAATAATAATAATAAAATAAAATAAAATATAAATATAAATACCCATTTGATTATTGCACTTTAAAATTTTAAAAAAAATACAAAAGTACGACAAAATATTTGCTTATTTCAATATTTGGGCAAAATCGTCATTGGAGACACGATATGTTAATGATAAATATTTTGATGCGTATGTAATTACCCTTGTAAACTAGAAGTTATGTGAGCAGGAAGCCTCAGTACAATATCTATCTTATTTTCCAAAATACAAACGAGAGAGTTCACAAAATCCAATAGCTATAATACGCTAAAATGACATTGGCACGCAAAAGAAATCAAGTAATCCATCAATACGTTCATAGGGGAATGCAGTATCAAGAAGCCAGGAGTACAGTGGGCATTCCCCTTTATATTTCAATATCAAAACACAAACTACAATATCTGTATATGGTCCCTTAGAAATAGGTCCCCTCGGGAGGCTGAGCCAGCTTACGGTTGTGTGAAGCTGCCATCTCTTTCTTCAGCTGTGTCAGTATATGTTCCATCGTGTACTCCCGCTGCCAGTTTCCCAGAACTGCAAATTTCTTCGGTTCCACCTATATCAAGCGAACAACATACAACAATATTCAATAGTACGATAGAATAATGAAATATGCAACCCTGCACATTTATCAGCTCAATGATGGAAACTCGCCATGATATGTACAGAGTCGCATCATTAGAGGGTTTATCAAATTTTGTTTGTATCATCATTAAAATGTGTGTAGGGTGGGATATTTCGACTGTATGTGTAAAAACGGTAAGACTTTTAAGCATAATGCCAAATATCCTCATCAGGAAAGGGTCAAGCAACCACCTGGTTCGGTACATGAGTAAATTCATCTCCAAGACGGGTAAGTTCAGAAAAAGTTAAATATTCATTGTTCCAACAATACACATATTAGTATCAAAGGATCATCAACTAACATAGAATCCGGCAACAAGGATCAAAAGATACCCTATCCAGGATTTATACATGGCAAGGGCACAATTTACATGAATATATTAGTTATCTAAAATGATTGTTTGCTACAACATAGCCAACAAGAAGAAAATTTTAAGATCATCAATCTTTATATTGTTACAAACTAAACTGTAAACTATGAAGGCCAGACAGGCCACTAGCCCCCAAACTCTTCCGCTAAGGGGAGAGGAGATAACCACAAAGATATTGCACGAGTCTGTGCCTAGTTTTTAATCTCATATAGGCAAATTACATGTAATAAACATTAGATCTATTTCAGGATATAACAATACTATGTCAACAAAAATCGATACTATCAACTTAAAGATGAGATCAGAATTTTCTTACCACGCCGGTATCACGGTTAACGCAAGTCATGTTAATCCGAGAATGGAAGCGAACACTTGGAGGTTTCTCTGGATAATCTTTGTCACAGAATAGCTTCAATTGATATATGCGAGATTCGTGTACAGACTGAGACAAAAACAAAAGGCAATTAAATATTTCACTAAGAGCTGCAGTGTAGGTTGATAAATCCATAAACAAATGAGAAATGATAAACAGCTCTAATCAATTCATGATCAGATGATGCAATGTCTCCTTTCGTTAGAGTTATAGCGTAAGGTCAATAAAACCATAAACAAATGAAAAATGATAAACAAATCTAATCAGTTCACAATCAGATGATGCGATATCTCCCTTTCGTTAAGGGTTATAGTGTAAGGTCAATAAAATCATAAACAAATGAGAAATGGCTAATAACTCCAACCAGTTCATGATTAGATGATGCAATATCTCCTTTCATTAAGGGTCCGTTTAATTGCAAAAATGGAATTGAATTGGGTGGAAAACAAATTCCAGAGAATTGAATTGCCAAGAATTGTTTTCCTGGGAATTGTAAATTATTGTGTTTGATTGGTATAATTTTCCACGTGGAAAATGTTGAAATAAAAGTGTTTTTTATATTCGTTTGACTTTGTTTTACATGAAAATTGTCAATTAAAATGATATAATTTACTTGTATTGGGGATGACATTGGTTTCCATCGCCAAAAAGCCAAAAAATAAAAATAAATAAATAAATAATTCAAGAAAATCATCTATTTTTTAGTGTTTATTTGGCTTTATTTTACATGAAAATTATCATGAAAGAGAAATATTTTTTTACAATAATTTTTAGAATTGGTTTCCATTGCCTAAAAAAAAAATCGCTACAATCGCCGGGAATTCCAATTCTCACCATATGGTGAGAATTGAAATTCCACCAAATTAAGGAATAGCACAACTTCTAATAAAAGTTGGAAACCAATTCCATGGAAAATCTTGTGAATTAAACACTACATTTTGGGAGGAAAATGGAGCTAGAAACCAATTCCATGGAAAATCTTGTGAATCAAACACTACATTTTGGGTGGAAAATGGTTCCATCCAATTCCATGGATTTGGGTGAATCAAACACTACCTAAGAGTTAAATTGTAAGGTCAATAAAACCATAAACAGATGAGAAATGACTAATAGCTGTAACCAGTTCATGATCACATGATGTGATATCTCCTTTCATTATGAGTTACAGTGTAAGGTCAACAAAACCATAAATAAATGAGAAATGCCTAATAGCTCTAATCAGTTCATGATCCGTGATGCGATATCACAAACATTTAAATTAATTATTCCATCAAAATCAAATTCCACACTCTACCAACTCCTGTAGAAGTTAATTAATTCCATACTCTAACAAATCCGATAGAGGTTTAGTATTGATAATATACTTTGACGGAAAAAAATTGAATCATCTTGCCATAAAAAGAATACAGCTATTTATGGACAATGCCACCATCTGAATGCTTGCAAAGATTCAGAATAGAACAATGGTAGCTGCAGACCGAAAAAAAAAAAAAATGTGTTCATGTGACGGATTCACTCATTTGACACTATAAGGTGATTCAACAAGTGCCACAATTAGTATCGTTACCTGACAGCAACCAGTAAAATATTAATAAATCCATCGTGACATGAATAGCCACAACCTTGTTTGCTTGTCCATTATGAAATCCTCTAGAGCAGCGTAACCCTAGGATATTATCATAAGGAACAATGAAAAAATCCGGAACTTGATTCAAAATCCTCTAGACTCTTTTAGATTTTCTCTTTCATGTTCAGTTTCTTAAGTTGTCTGCTAGCCATACAAATAAATTCAAGTATAGAAATCAACGTCATTCCACAATTCTGTTCATTATTCTCCAAAAAGGACAATAACTTATTCTTATATTGTATAAAGAATAAAAGAAAAATTATGCTGGTGAATAATAAATTTTAATTATTGTTTCGTTATCTTTAAAAAATGGAACTCGTTATCTATCTTTCCAAGGCCAAAAACCTCACATTGAGCAAAAAAATTAGTGTGTCAATAAAGGAAGGATAAATGTAACGTCCCAAAAAATAATAATAATAATAATAATAAATAAATTTTTTTTTTTGATTTTGTATTATATATATTTAGAAAAGTTGGGGATTATAAATGGAATAGGATTTTAATTTCTATTTTATTTAGGATACAGAATTAGATAACGATGGAATAAGTTTTGGTATATCAATATTAGACTTATTTTGAAGGTTGTAATTAATTAGAAGTCTTTATCTCAAGAAAAAATTGTTTTGGATAAGATGAAACCAAGTTAGATCAGAACAAAGTAAAACAAGGAAAAAGATAATCCTAACTAATTAATTAGCTTATTCATCCACTGAAATCTTCCCTCAATCAACAAACACGTGTGTTGTTTATTTACATTATTAGAGGACATTAAGTAAACAAAATATTAATATTATCATAGTCTAATAGAAATTTATTGGAGGATCGTTTATGAAACTAATCACAATTAGATATCATAAGTGATGGGCAGATTAATCGTTGATAATTAATACAAATCTTTTAGTTAATCCCAAATCCAATTTAATTGGGATAAACATCAAAACTAATTCTAAATTCATTAGGAAACAACAAATAGACTACAGTATATATATGCCATTAGAATAAGTAAAATATCGCTATCTAGAGCAATCTTCTGAATAAGAAAATGTGATTGTCCCACTTGCTCTTTTGAAACCAGAAACAAGATACCCACTAAATATCCAAAGCAGAGAAATTTAGGAGAAATTAGAACGTGCAATCAAAATTTTTCTTTGGAGCTATCAAGGTAAGATACTTTAAGTGCAAATGTTTTTGTTTCTTTATGCGTTTATGTTCAATAAAAAAATGCATGGATTGCTAGTAGACATTCGTTTTTTTAAAGAGATATGAAATCTTATGGGATTATAAGAGGATCTAAGATGGGTGTGTCGCTTGATCATCGATATACTCCATAGGATCAAATGGTATGAATTGTAATTTTTATTGTTATATATATGTATATGAAAACTGCACGTATCTTATTGGGTGTTTTCGAATACTCACTCTTACAAATTTTTACAGGTTAATTCGGGTCGATTGGAATTGTGGAAGGACAGTGATGCGGGCTGCCGTGTGGGTCAAATGAAAAGAAAAATAAATGAGTTTACTGTCTTTAAATTTACCAATTAGTTTAATTTTGTTTCAAATGTGTTATTTGAATTAGTTAGGAGTTTATGTTATGTTTAGATAAAATTTCATATTTTAAATTTAGACTTATAAATGTTGCAGTTATTTGTTTAATAGATAATTTTATTTTTATAGTTCTGCACTTAAAATAAAGAAAAATGAGTTTTTCGTAACGTTCCGAAGTTTATAAAAAATTGGGGCGTTACAATACAGGGCACTGGTTCAAATAAAATCATAATCTCCAAGTAAAAAAAGGCAGATTATACATCTATCCCAAGCATTTACCCTTTAGAGGAGATGATGCTAAGCCAAGCGGCAAGTGCTAAAAAGAGAATAAAATACTCACATTATGAGGACCTATAATAGTGCCAGTCCAGGATCGCATGTAAATGTCATCTCCATCATCCATTCCATAACTCACAGTACCATCTCCAATTCCTTTTTCTCCACGTTCCAATTCCTCCAGCAATCTGAAATTTCGAGGTACTGCAAGGAACCTTAAAGATATGAGATGCAACATATTTTATTTCTTACAGATATGTAACTATTCCATCTCCTATATAAAGTAAAAATCCCATTATCAGATAAATTAGAAGTTCATTGTTCATCTGGAAGTTAAAAATTAAAATAATTCTCTACTGCAGAGCAATATAGAAAACTCAACCAAAACAAATCATGAAAACATAGACTACAACAGAAAATCCAGATCTCTAAAAACCTGGAGAAATAGTCGCCCATCGAAGTTTGGTACATATAAGAACTTGAACTCAGAAAACTATTAGTGTCCTCCCAAAAATACAACTGTCTGTCTCAAGTCAAATGTCCTAGTAAAACTCGACAAAACCTTACTTAAATGTGATGGAACTATAAATTTTTAGTCATGTTCCCAGTTTACCATTACACGCATAACAAAAATGTGGACCATATTTCATTGTATATAAAAAGATGTGTCTAAATTTGAATGGTAATTTAATTTAGACAAGGCAATGTGGGAAAGAATAATTTGAGAATAAGCCGCTTGAATAAAAGCATATAGTGTTCCAAGGCATGCTGAAAAGGAATGGAGGGTATTCATATGAGACAGAGGTAACTATTAAATTTGTACAGATTAGCTTAGCTTCTTAAACAGATCAAATATGTATTCTGCACGGACACATCTCATTCATTGTATGTGTTCACCTAGTACAAGAAGGTTAATAATTACTGATTTGGCACCTGATTAAAGATTAAAGTATAAATATATCCTTGAGTTACAACTTAACCAATACTATGGCTGGTGACTATATAAACAAACATGCTTTTGCCCAAAAGAAATTGGATAGATTTTATTAAATATGGTAGCCAGATTTATGATATCGAAATTTGCAATGAAATATAAAAGGTCAAACTATCTTGCCAAAACAGCTCCAAAATTTATTGAACTAATAACAGAGCGTGCAAATTAACTCATACACCAATCAATAATATCACACAAACACAAAAACAGAACAAAGAAGGTGGTAATTCAAGCAGGTGGACATAAGATCACTCGTTTAATTTCCTTAAACAGCAAAAATGAAACAACCAAAATTCCTAACCCGATTCGCAAACCCCCTCTCCTGCACTGCAAGAAAAAACTTCACTTTCTCGTTTAATTTAGATAAGTGATACAGTAATAACTCAATCAAATTCATGTACAAATCCACCTCAATTAAACAAATAATAAACCAAACAAATTGAAAAGCTTTAAAATGTTACAGTTCCAGCAGCATTCACACTTCCCTTCAAAATTGATCAAATTGTGTATTAAAATAAGATTTTCAAACATTAAGAAAAAGAAACGCATCAAATTAGTAGAAACTAAATATAGTAATGGCACTAAACACAAAAGCTGCCACCGATGGCATGCCTGATTAAGTCTTTGATTCTCTAAGAATGAATGGTGACAATTTTACCAACAAACACAAGAGGAAGTCAACACAACATATGGCAATCCAAAGTATGAAACTCCCGACTCTGGAATCAGAAAAGCAAACTTTGAAATCAAACAATTCATAGAAATCACAAGAATAAAATCCCTTAACGCATGACAATCAAGAAAGCAATCCTTGGCAATCTCAAGAGTCACGGCAAGAGAATGATGATTCCACGACTCATGGAAATTAGAAAGGTAAACTTGGAAATCCCACAAACTATGGTAACAAGAAGACTAATTTTTGCATAAATCACAACAATGTATTCTAGCATGGAAAAAAGGTTTTTATATTTCAACAATAAATTCAATTATTTTGAATTCAACTTTTTTTGACTGTAAATACTCGTGGTTTAAAGCTTCTTTCATCACAAAAGAGAGAATTGAATTTTATTTCATTCATCGCTTTCTTAATTTCTCTTTATCTCTTGTACTCCAATTCATCACAATCGATATTCCAATCAATCGGAAATTAACCCAAAAAAAAAAACCAATGAAACAACAAACAGATTTTTCAGATATAACCCAGATGAAAATTCACCATATAATGACAACAATCACACGCCACAATCAGATTCACCTCGGAGATTTCATGCTATTACAGAAAAGAATCAAGAAACATGGATAAAAAAATAAACCAAAATATATCATTTTTTGAGATAGATTACTACTAACCCACGACACTTGATCCTGCAGAGCCAAGAGTCATGGTGAATATGAAATCGGTTATTGGGGTCGAGATCGATTTGATTGAAGAGAGAAATGAACAGAAAAAAGCGAGTTGAGTCTTTGAAAAGGTTGATAAAAAGGAATAAAGTTAAAAAGTAACAAAATTATTGGATTGAGGACAGAACGCGTTTGGTTCAACTTAGAAGTTTCTATTTTTGTGAAAAATAAAATAAAATTTAAAAGTAAATTTTGTTAGAGAAAATTAATTTTGATAAAAAAATTAATTTACTTTTAAACATGATCAAAATAAATAAATAAAAAACACTGAAATTGCAATCATTAATTTGATGGAAAAAGATACACGTCTAGTCAAATGACGCTCCATATTGGTGGGGGTCTGCGGGACATGTGACCGTAGAAGTCAAGCACAACTGTAATTTGATTGATCAATTGTTACCTTTCCAATAATATTATTTACTTATAGGCGCGATTCTAAAAATGTGTGTCTAATCAAAAACGTGTTGTAGTGTCCTGCCTAGAATTTAGACGTGCGAAAAAATATCAACTCTTTTGTTGACCACCCAATATGAGCCTAGACCATACAGAGCACGTATTTATTTCTTCAATCATCTAGTTGTACAAAATAAGTTGATAAAAATGGTTGACAAAACAAGTTTTGACAGAATCTTGACCTTTGATTTCAAATGATCTAAAAAAAATGTTTTTGAGATGATTGATGTAGATGTTATTTTGTAAACTAACTTTGTCAGCTAATTTTGTACAAATAGCATGACTATTATTTCTTTAGAAAAAATTATTCCACGTACCTTCATTTCTTCTAAAGAACAAAAACTACCCCTACTATTATTTCTAACTTTACCATATATATAACTTTCTAACAAATGCCCTCTTTACATTTTATATATGTATAAACCATATATCATTATCCTAATTAGTAACCAACCTTAATCCCCAAAGCACCAACTCATTCACTTGCCGCCGCCATCACCAACTATTGCACGACAATTAACTCCAATTTCATCATCTCACAACCACTATCTCCATAACATACCAACCATTAACAATCTATAAAAAGTCGCTACTTTTTCGTTTTATCGTGCGGAGATGGGGCTATCTCATTGCTTTCTTTGCTTTTAGGCAATGCTTAAAACTACTCAAGACACTCTTGAGCAATGTTTTCGTCGCCCTAAGCTTACCATTATTTCATTTCATACTATTGATTAGTTCTAGATTCAAAGAACTTATACATGATGGCTTCTTTATTACATATCGTTGTCGTAGCTTAGACCATTTATATCTGAACTTCAGTTTCTCCATATTCCTATAAATATTTAGTTTCCAGTTTATTTTTCTTCTTAAATATTCTCAATTTATTACAAGACAAAATTCTTTACTTTTTATTTTGGATTTTTTGTATCTATATTTGCCGGTTGCAATTGATAGCTAATCACCTTTCTTTCAAGTGACTATCTTTCTAATTGTAAGATTATCTTCAAAAAACACTCCAATATAAAATGCTCTCTATTTTTAGAACTAATATTTAAAAATAAGTTTTAAGAAACTCAACATCTCCAAGAGATTCTATAAATACAAATGTTATTTATGTTAAAGAGTTAATGCTTCAAAAAAAAAAAAAGCTTCAAAACTCTCTTTTTTAATGAATAAGAATCGCATTTAATAAATACAGATTTCAATACTCTACTTTTTAAATTATTTAAATCATATTTTAATTGATCGGTCATTGACATATAAAAAAATATGTTAAATAAAATATGAAGAGAAAACAATAAGTGTTTCTTGAGAAAAGTAAAATGAAGAGCCAAAATAGAGAGTATTGTTAGAGTTCATAAGAATTTTGAATTTATTTATAAAGAGAATCTTATGAATTATAGATAGCATCTTTAAATTTAGATAGTCAAACTCATTCTTCACTCTTAGTTTATAATGATTACATTAATAAGTTACATATTTCAATAATCTATTTTTCACGAAAAGATAAATTCATAAATGTTTAAAAAATATGAATAGTCAAAATAGAGAGCATTATTGGAATATATAAACAAATTTACTCTCTAGATTTAAAAATATTTTCTATTATACATAAAATGCTATTTACAAATATAGAGTCTTTTGAAGATATTTTACTCATGCTTAATCCAAAAAGCAAAAAAAAAAAAAAGAGCCATTTACTTGGCTAATTAGTTACATATAGATCATTTAATAGCATTTTGATTTTGTTTTTGCGTAATAAAAATTTTAGCATATGAAACAATTTAAATTATTTCCCTTCAAATTATTTATAATTATATTAGTTTGTCTATTTAACCACTTGAATATTTTTATATCATTTCATGTGTGATTTTGTGGCGGTGACACATGTATGACAATTGGTGTTTGTCGATGATAATGATGTTGCGATGGTGGCACGACAGTGCTTTGTGATGGTGGTTGGACATGAAATTAAATTGTGAATTAGTGGTAGGTGGTACTATAAGTTATTCAGTTTAACTATATGTTATTAGGTGAATTTGAATTGTAAATGAAGATAAACAACGTAACACACATATTACACTATAAATACCATACGTGTAACCTAAAATAAGAATTTTGTTATTTTAATTCGACTTGAGAAGGCTGTGACATTGCCAAATATAGTGGAGTGTTGAAGGTAATAATTTTTGAGATGGTACGCTTTGTGCATGTTGTTGTTGAACAAAAAACGTAGGAGTAACAAAACATGTCGCTTGTGTAGAACTTGAATTATTCAAATAAGATTGTTTTAAATGGAAAATGCAGTATATTTTGAAAAATTATAAACCGAGGTAAATATTTAAATATTGATTTTTATTGAGTAAAGGATGTATATGTATATTATTTATTATTATTTTGACAATAGTATGTGTTTGTGAAGTTTTCCTTACACTGTCTAAAGTCTTGACCCATTTAACAATAGTTTATTCTTTATAATTGAAAATTGTCTAGTTTTTAAAAAAATTGAAAATTATATAATCATAGGAATTAATAAGTAATTATAATATTTATGATTTTAGATGTTTGATATATAGGGTTAATTTCACAAACGGTCACTGTACTTATCTGAAAATTACAAAACAGTCGCTGAAGTTTAAAACTTGCAGAAAGTGTAACTAAAGTTTAGAGCGCTTTCAGAAAGGATCACTGAAATTTACAAACTTGCAGGGAGGGTCACTGAAGTTTAGAGCACTTATAGAAAGGGTCACTGAAGTTCACAAACTTGCAAAAACGGCCCGATAACAATTTCAAGTTTAGAAATAACTCAAATAAGCCTCCGTTTGGATAAAAAATTATAAATAAAACTTTAAATTTTCCGCTTATAAGAAGTTTAGGCATTGTTTGCGTTGCATTTAAGCTTTTAGTTTTGAGTTTTGAATTCATTTTGATTTTTCTATTTTGAGTGTATGTTTTAAAATTGTGGAAAATACGTTTAATTTGTCATTTTGCAAAAAAAAAAGCATTTGGTTGGAATTTATAAAATGAATTTGATTATTCAGAATAAAACAATTTTGTGCCAATATATTATCAAATAATATAAACATTTTAAGTATTTGATTTACAATCAGAAGAAATTTTTGAATTATTTTAATTTATAATATTTTGAGTTTTATGTTATAAATTTATTCTCGTTTAAAAAAAAAATTCCAAAAATGCAAAATCAAACAAGTTTTGAATATTTTACAATGTTGAAAACTTAAAGGAAAATTATATATGTACATTAGCCATGCCAAAATCTTTTACAGTATTGACACGTGGCGATATTTTGAATTAGAAAAAAGGGTCAAACAGTCATATCCACTTGGTTTCTCTCCCATCATTTATTATCCACCAGATCCACTTTCTTTCTCTCCCATCATTTATTATCCACCTAACCACTTATCTCAACCACTCATTTATCACTATTGTCTCTCAAATAGACTCTGTGTGTGTGTGTGTCTCTCTCTCTCTCATTATCTGAATATAACCATCTAAATCTGAAAATTTCCAAACTCCGTCTCTGCAAACCGTTGGTGCTACGATCTCAACTTTTCCAAACCGTCAGCGTCTGAAATTCTCGAAATCGATTGTACAGTATGTGGAATTTCCAAACATCTATAAGCTATTGTATGTCGTAATGTTAATATATATTCTATATGCATTTTTTGCCTTGATCAAGAACAAGTGCTACATTCTCTCTCATTAACTTTTTTTGAAATGATTTGCATTTTGTCTACCAATTTTTATATTGTCTCTTAGTTCTGGGTTATTCAATTGTTTATATATATTCTGTATGTATTTTTTTCAATGCTCATAGAATCAAAAGACAACTGATTTGATTGAAAATAATTTGTTTAGGGAAGTGCCAGCTCATTGAATGATTCTTCTTTAGAACTTATTGAAATTCCTTCTCCACTTTACTTTTCAATACACATTCGTACTGCTCGAAAAATTGCTTAAGGGATGTTTTGAAATGAACATAACCATCAAAAAATGTATTAATGCTCTCACTTCATTGAGTTGTTGACATGCCTGCTCAAAATGATGTCCTACAAAAAACATGGTACCCATCGTCGTCGCTCATTGTACAATCCAGTTAACCAACCATTTTCTATTAATTCATATTGTTCGAGCATCCTACTCCAACCTTGCTCGAATTCCTCACATCCCTGTACGTCGTATACCAACCCGTGCATCGTGGAAAGAATAGAAGCTTTGTGTCTGTGGTTGCCAAATTTCTCTGGTAACTTCTTCAAAATGTGCCTCAAACACCATCTGTGCCTTGTATTCGGAAAGACAATTCCAATTGCATTCTGTATAGCTCGATCTTGATCCATAATAATTCCACTTGGAGCTATACCATGCATACATTTCAGCCATGTCCTAAAAAGCCATACGAAGGTCGTTGTATCTTCATTTAAAACCAATCCACATCCAATGAGAGTTAACTGCCCATGATGATTCACCCCAACAAATGGAGAAAATGGCATATCATACTTGTTAGTCAAATATGTGGTGTCAAATGTCACTATGTCCCCGAACTCATTACATGCTTCTCTACACCTATTTTCAGCCGAAAAATGTTTTTCAGACGGACCTCATCATCCAAGTTTATACTAAAATAGAAACCATGACTGTTTGTTTGCATCTTTGAGAAATAGGCTTGTATAGCAACAGCATCTCCTTCACCAAGTCGTAACCGACAAACCTTGTCAATGAAATTTTTGCAGTCTTTCTCGACACAAGTTATATTGCTAACCACCAGCCTCAATTACTGCTGAGTTAAAACTCGTATGCAACGATATACCAGCAATATCATTTATTTCGAGCTATCGTTTCACACGTTCGCTAATCTCGCGATTGCAAAGATACAGCCTCGATTTTGATGGACTTGTTCTGTGATTGTGCTCTAGGTGGACAGTGTTATTACGCCACTTTCTTGTTCAGAACATGCTGTCAGTCTCGCTTTACACCCAGTTTGGATGGTTGGTTGAGGCTTAAGACAAGAATTGATAGCACTCATTCGACGGCCTTCTCGGCTGCACGTGAAAGTTACATAACGGACAACCCCGTCATCACCCTTCTTCGAATTCCTTTTTCTAATAGGAAAATTGATTTGGAATGCATAGTTTTTCTAAAATTCAAATACCTCATTTTTATCGTTAAATTTCATTCCAACATGAGGCACGATAATCTCAGTCTCTACCTTTAAGTTGTTATCCTTTGGACTGTCGTCTTCGGAATCTAGAATTTTTAGATATCCTGCATTTACGAAAAAAAAACCATAATGAATTCTCACCGTCGAGACAAATGTACATAGTTCTTAACAAACATTTGGTGGTCATTTTGCCTCCTTAAATATTTCAATTATTCTGTTATTTTAATATCTATGATGCATGGAAACTTCAAAAAAGACTCGATAGCATTTTTCTTTCCTTCTTGATCCACAGATACAAAATTATGATAATTTTCTTAATGCAAAATGCTGATCAATGTAGGAAGCAGTGTAAGAGCACGTTCAGTTCCTTTCCTGCTTATTAAAAGGTAAAATACTTTAGAGGATGAATGGTGTAAGAGCATGATCAGTTCCTGCTTATTAAAAGTACCTTTTGAGGTCCTTAATTGAGTATTATGACTCTGAATACTTCACAAAAATGCTGAATGAGTTTTCTTTCAAGTGAGCTAAACATTCTTTCATAGCAAAAACTAACAAATGCAAACAGAAAACTTAATTGAGTATTATGACCCTGAATACTTCACAAAAATGCTAAATGAGTTTTCTTTCAAGTGAGCTTAACATTCTTTCATAGCAAAAACTAACAAATGTAAACAGAAAAATTAATGAGCCCTTTGCCACACTAATTCACAGTAACAACTAACAAATGCAAACAGGGAGATTTTTGGGAAAAACATAATCTATTGCCTTTTGAAAAATGTGCAAACAACATATTTAATCAGTTACCCGTGCTGTTGCCACCGTTGGAGTAACCGACATTAGAGTTGCCAACTTCCATTTTGACTTCATCTCCATTATAGCTGGGTTTAGGGTCCACCGCAAATGATGGGAACAACGACGCGTCATTCGTCGTCGTGTCGTCTCCGGCGCCATGTCAGTGCTGTCGTCAATCTGGTTTCCCCGTCATTCCATTTGTCGATAGCAGTGAAGGATTTGGGGGAAAGTGTGATTTGTAGGAAAATTTCTCGCAAATGGTAAATGGTGGAAAAATGGGTAGGGAAAATGGTTTGGGTCATTTGTCTGACAACGTGTTTTTTTTCCCTTCAAATTTCAGCGATATTTTGAATTTCAAGATATCCCCACATCAACATAATGTAACAAATTCGGTAGGAAGAGGCTTTACGTGTAGATTGAAGTTAATTTTATACATCCACCCAAACATGCTTTCCTAATGCCCGGTAGGAAGAGGCTATACGTGTAGACTGAAGTTAATTTTTTACGTGTAGCTTTGAAACATCAAATCAAATGCCCCTTATATTTTTATACATCCACCCAAACATGCTTTTTTGAACGTAACCAAGTTAATTTTAAAAATGACACTGAAGTTTGTGGAAACTTTTAAGTTGGTTCATGGTATTAAAATCGAATGAGGAAAAATTAGAGACCACAGTCCCTAAACCATTCAATTTCAAACATTTATGATCCAACTCATGAATTTACTATTTTCTTTAACTAATTTTATTATTATTATTATTATTTTTTGCATATTATCCTACTCTTTAATTAAACAAAAATTCAATAAGCGACAGAAAAAATTAAAAAGAAACGAAGAAACCTACATAGACTAAAGATGGCAAATTTTCCTACCTCGCATCGTCGCACCTGAATCTAGTATTTAATTTTTTTCAATTTAAATCATATTTAAAAAACATTTTAAATAAAATTTATTTATTTTGAATTTCATCGCTCTTTCAATCTCAAATAAGACTTATATCCAAATCACTAACCTGGTTAGACTTTGTTCTTACTGTTGGATGAATTTTGTGAATAGTGACGCTGAAATAAGTATAATGATGGTGACAAAGTCGAGGTAAGAGTTGGACTCTTTGTCCTTAAGTCGAATTTGCCCCGCAACGGTGCCTACGGATTTCGGCAATCGACTCCCAAGATACAACGGCTACACTTGTGTTTGTAGCACTCCAAAACACAAGTACAACGAACCAAATTTAGGTTTATGTACTCCAAGGATGAAATGAAAGAAAATGAAATGATTTTGATTTTGGATAGAAGAGAGGATGAGAGACGTTTTGCATATCAAACTGTGTGGAATAGGACACCCAAATGGTCCTATTTATAGACCATGAAAGGGTGTGGACGAAATGGTTGAGGCCAAATCATGCACCTTTTCAAAACAATGCACCATTATGAAAAGGTGTCTATTCACTGATTTTCATCCTTTTTCGTAATTTCTCATTCATCCGATATTGATTTTCGAAATGTCAAATATACCCTTCAATACATGTAGAGAAATCAAAATTCTCTTTCGGGGGCGTTGCCTCCGACCCCCCACGAGGGGCGCTGCCCCCTCGACCCCCGCGACCTGACCGGTCAGGTCGATCCCCGTTTATGCGCCCCGAAGCGGCGAAGTGGCAAATAATTTTGCCTAAACGGATTGAATCGAGCTTTTGAGTATTTTGCCGAAGTCGATACGAACTTTAATCGATTTTCAATTCTCGATTTATTTAACTAATATCCAACATATTTTCTTGTGAATCTCTACAGTCCTTTGTCTATAAATAGGACTGAAGTCTGATACTTGAGGAAGAGAGCAAGAGTGATATCGTGAGAGTCTGGGGAATCACATTCTGTAGGAAGAGAGTGAGATAGCGGGAGAAATTCTTGCAACAGAATCTCTGCAACTTTCTGTGATAGTTTTCTGGTGTGTTCTTGGTTGAGTGGTGAGTGGTGGTGTTTTGTGTAAAATAAACACTGTGTAATATCATCTTGTATGGCAGATTCACTGGGGGTTAAATTCCCTGTATTGGTTGATGAATTTTGTCCCAATAACATGAAACTCTTGTGTTCTTGATCTGCTTTCTTTCCTTGGTTCATATTCTGTCATTTCTGGGTACTCTTTTCTAGTATGCAAATCTGAATTCATCTTTCCTGGGAGATGAAAAATCCTGACATACAAGTCACTCGCGTTGATCAACAAGTGCTCACATCCGTTGATTTAATAATCATTTTTTTGGGGATATCTTCACCCAATCAATCTTGTTGCATTTCGATGAATGATAACGCTATTTCATGTGGAATTGAGCCTCTAAGTAAAATATTTAGGTGGTCAAAACATACTCTTTCTTTTTCGAACGTTTATTTTATTTATAGTCAATTCAATTTATTTTCCATATTGAGATTAGGTGGAGATATGTTTATATTAGTTTTCTTAAAGATTATCATTGATTAGAAGAGTAAGTAAACTTTATGCACTTATTTGGACCTATAAACTTGCTTATTTATTGATAAATAAAGTAGATATCTACTTAATTTAGAATAAATATGAATAGTTTTAGGTAAAATCCTATGATAAGTGTATTTTATACACTTATTCGGGTGCTTAAAATGACAATATTTGGTGGTCCTTTTAACAAATTATATCATAATTTTTTTATTTTATGCTTAATAGATATATTTCACGATCAAAAAGGGAGTTGAAGAGAAGAAGCAAAAATGGGCGAAAAGTGGCAAAATTCAAGTACAAGGACTAAATTGGCTAGTTGATGCAAAGTTTGGAAATCAAAATTCATTATCTTGAAAATTAAGGACTTGGAAGCAAACACTATAAATGGGCCTCAACTAGACTTCCACGTGGGCTGCTGATTGAACTTCTTGACCTAGAAGGACCCGCATGTATGCAAAGTGAAATTAAAAAGTCCAAGTGAAAGTGATTTTCGGTGGCTGCTAGGTTTTATTTTTTATATATATACACCATTTACACGCCGAGGAGGGGGGGAGCCGAACTAGGGAGCAAATTGGACTCCACTTTGGGGTAAATTATTGAGGCTCAATAGCACAGAAAATCGGGAGAGATACATACGAATTGGAGAGGTGGAATTGGGGAGACAACCTGGGGGAATTGGTTGCTGGAAATTAGACTTACATACATATATAATTACGCCTTGCAGCCAGCAAAACGACTTTTCTGGAAGGAGAACTGCAGCCGGCCAAATACAACACTTCGGAAGAATTTCTAACGGCTGGACAAAAAATTCAATTGCGGACTGCTAGGATTGATTGGAAGAAGGCCCGACACACAATTGGATAAATCAATTGAGAAACGTGTAAAGCATAGAGGGAAGCTGAAAGTAGATTTGGAGGCAAGAATTGAAGCTGCCGACAATTAATATATTTACATACACACGTAAAGACGGCAGCTTGAGGAGGCAGAATTGAGAAGTTCCAGCTGGGATTACAATTAAATATTGGAGGCACTCACAGAAATTGAGGAGAGGCACACAGAGAAGCTCAGAAATTGCTGGAATTTATCACTTATACGCATAGGAAACCGAGGAAGAATTGGACTCCAAACATTGAAGCTGTCGGCTGGAGTAAAATTGAAATTTCATTCGCGTTTCGTCAATTAATCCCGGTGATATCTTCCATTATTTTATCTTGTGTTTCTTCCATAATTATGAATAGCTAAATTTAATTTAGGGCGAACAACGTAATTTATTTGGAACCCTTTATTTCGTTGATTTAAGATTCTAGTACTTTTATATCTTATGCGTTGATTTTAATGTGGTGCTTAATGCTTTTAATTACTTGATCACTAATTAAATGATTTGTGAGCGATGATTGCGTAGAGATGCGGATTATTTGTTTAGACCACATGTTAAAAGCCGGTAAATCGATATAACGTGTAGAGATACTTATGTTGATTGCTGCGGTCGTGTGTGAATTCTTAGAACCAGTGTTGCGTTTAATTAATTTTAATTTGCATAGAGATATGGAATCAAACTAATTAAATAGGCTCAACGAGAACTCGAGAGGGGTAAGTTGAATACCATAGAAGAATTCGATCGAACATTACTTTAGGTTATATGAATCTTGATTTACGAAGTAAAGGTGACCATTAAGTGAAATTGTTCCGCCCTAAAGTCCCTTTATTATTTGAACTCTCGATCATTTTCTGTTGCATCAATTCGCACATTTTTAAGTAGCTAGATTTAAAAGTCACAACCAATCACTTTTCTCGTTTATTTTCGTCAAATAGAAGTTAGGAATAATAAATTGAGTATTAAAGTATAGTCCTCGTGGGAACGATAATCCGGACTCAAAAGGTCCACTTTACTACTTGTTACGATCCGTACACTGTTTCTTTACAAGTTGTTAAGTGACATCGTATTTACCCCAGAGGACTTGGCATAGGATAAAACCCTAAGTTGTCTATAATGCTCGAACCATCCTATGTTCAAGGTGATAAAGCACAAAATTAGCAAAGTATTACTTGAGAATTTCATTCACCATTTATTGTAAATTTAGCTGATTTTTAGTTGATTTTATTCTCTTTATTTAGCTGATTGTATTCCCCACTGTATAGGCTAGATTAGTGGGATTGACTTTGTTGGATTTGTGGGATTGATCTCCTTGCCTGTATATATATACTTGTAATAATTTCTGTCAATACACACCAGAATATTCATTGAATTTCTATAGGTTTGGCCTCCATTTTTTTAAAATTCATTTTCGATTATACATTCTTCCATAAAATAATATTACACGTAAATTGAAAACATTTTCTCATTTTTTACATTCATTCTCTAAAAAAATTACTATTTCGAAACTCATTTTCCCTCAAACTTTCATTAAAATGGAACCGAAACAAGGGATTCCTCTGATTGCTAGAAACCTCCAGCATGGTGCGTCATTTCAACGTTTATTTTACTTTTTCTTGTTGATAACTATATGATTATGTTTCCTGTCCTCTGAAATTTCTTTCCTTTTAAGTCAAAGCAAACAAAGTTCTTAAATAATTGATCAGTTGCGTCATTTCTTTTAGACTTTTAGTTCTAGTTGTAGATTAAGAACTCTTATCATGTGATTACTATTTTATTAATCTGTTATTGGCCACTTGCTTAATCTATTTTTTATTTCTAGTTGCAAGTTAAACTAGTTTTACTTAGACATTTTATAAATGATATTTTTAAACAGTTAATTGTTTATTCTATACAGCCCTTGTTTGAGCCACATTATTTTGATAAGAATACATTTTGAAATAGTATATTGATGAGAAATATTGATTAAAAAATAAGGAAAAGTTTTGGATTTACATGTAAAATTATTTTATTGAAGAATGTGTGGTTGAAATAATGTCAAATCAGTGTTTAAAAATATATTTTTTTGTAAGAATGTGGCTCAAACAGAGCTGTGACTTTTTATTTTTGTAATTATTTGAAATTTTATCGGTTTATGCTGAGCTTTACGCTTCAAAGCAGCCAAGGTTTACTTTTTTGACTCAGGTAAAACACCTCCGTACCTGGTTAAGCCTTTGAAGCATTTGTACATGCAAATTTGTGTACATGTACGACTATGTTACTAGTCACATGGTGTAATTTTCAGGTTTTTGTAATCCTTATGTAATTTTTTTTCGTTTATTGTGCTACAGATGTCTTTGCATCTCGACAATCTTTCGTCTCGAATTCATAAAGATGAACTGGAACGTACTTTCTGGAGGTTTGGTAGGTGTATTATACGGATAAAAGACAAATATCGGTTTGTAGTCAATGATTCTCCTGCAAGTGCTGAAAAAGCTCTTAGAACAATTCCAAGGCAGAAGAATCTGTGTACAGCCAGCAATCATATCATGGTCAAATAGGCAGCCTCGAGCCTTGCAGCGATTTGATATAGGTGGTAAGTCACACAAGCCACCACGTGGAAGATACTCACTCAAAGAAAATGACGACTGAAGGGCATGGTCATGTTGTAAATGAAATTCGATCACAAGATTGATTTTCAAGTAAGTAGATGGTGAAGGCAGAAAGTCTGATTCTTCTGACCTGGTTGATGAAGGAAGAAGTTTCCATTGAATCGATTTTATTCGTTACGCAGGGGGAAAAGGATGGTGCTGTTTTTGATGATTCTCATGAAGCAGGAGGTGCTGGGAAGAACCACGTGGAAGATAATAGGTGTGGAAAGCAGGTCGTGGATCCATCGTATGTAAAGAGTTTAGAAAATGGATTGGAATTTGACTGGTATGAACCTTACTACATTGATGACAAAAAAGAGCTAAAGGAACTTCAAGATGTATCCCCTCTGAGTGGTTCACCCGCTTGAAGCAAGTCTATAGACAACAACAACAAAAAAAAAAAAAAAAAAAAGGAAAAGGAATTGGACAAAATGATCATCATGAAACTTTGTATCGTCCCAGCAATCCAGCATCTCGAAAAACTTGCTACTTGTGTGGAAAAGAGGGTCATGAAATGTGGAAGTGCCCCTCAGAGCTGAAGAGACCCACAGCAAGGTCTCAACTGCTGTGCCAAAGTAGTGATGCTTCTCGGGAGCCCTCTACTTCAGGAAATAATCTGAGATTGCTTAGACGTAGAGATTCTCTCCCAGCACGGCTTACGTTCAGACACAGGGAACAAAAGTACAGGGAGAAGAAACGAAATATGAAGGATACGAATGTATAGAGAGATCGTTTGAAGAAAGCAAGGGTCCTGTTGTTTTCTTCAACCCACTCTGATTATACTGCATCCAGATTGCAGTCACCTTCAAGATCATTAAGCTCTGTCTGGGTTATTTCACATTCCAAGTCCAAATCAGTGTCATCCAGAAATAGTTCTCCGTCAGCTCATTCGTGTTCTTCAACATCACACCATATTAGATTTATATCCTTCAGGTCAAGGGTGACATCAAGGTCAAACTCTCCTGCATCTTTGGCTTCGAAGGTATCCCTTGATAGGCATTTATCTTCCTCTGCAAATAGAATTCTATCAGATTACATGGGAGGTGAGGAACTGGTAAAACGTGTCTGTTCTGAAAATATCACAGTTACAGTGGAAAATGAGTCTGCAGCCGCATCATTGAAAGTGAAAGTGGAATTCGAAGCAAAGAAAGAGGATCTTGCCCAAAAGTTTGACGTGCACAATAATGCCATCACTAGTGAAAAGTGTTAAAGAGTCCCATAGACTGCGGTCAGACAACAGTAATCACAGTTCAGATAGTGTGAAGTTGCTAGGTGGAAAAGAGACAAGGGGACCTCCAAATGAGGACTGTGTATTGGAACATGCCCCGAAAAAAGAGCCTGAAATCTCTGTGAGATCTTCCCATTCAACAAGACTGTCCTCGGATGAAATATACATGGTTCTAAAACACCTGGAGCATCCTCAGGAAGATAAAAAGGACTTGCTGAAACTTACTTTTGGGTGTGCTCGTACGTGGCCTTGGGAGATAAGATACTATAGAAGACTGAAGAAACGCTGAGAACTATGCTCGGAGAATGGCAGAGAATAAGGACTCCTGTATAGTTGATAATTGGTAAGTGTATTTTGTACGTTTATGTAGGCCATTAAATTAGAGTGTATGTTAGAGATTTGGATCCATTTCTTTTTTTGGTACGAGGAACTTATCATGAATCTACTAATTTCTGCTGCGTCTGTTATTGTTGCTGGATTGGCTATAGAGCTTGCTTATATTGGACTTGGTGTTAGTTATAGTTTAATTATGCATTAATTATGTTTATTAGGTGGAACTCGATGCAAATTGGTGAAATTGAAAGAAATGAACGAAAATGGGTAAAAAGAAAGAAATTCAAAGTTTGGGGACCAAAGTGTAAGCATTTAATAGTTGATTTGGACCATATAATGATGATTGGAGATCACATATCATCAATTGAATGCAATTGGAGGTTAAAAGAGTAGAATATATTTGTAAGTATTTTCACAAATCAATTTGCTGTCTAAGAAGTTATGCTCTGAATTTTAACCTAATCTTTAGATCCATTTTTCGGATAGCAAATGTTCAAATTGAAAAAAAAAAATTGTAGAATAATTGTAGCCCTTTAAGTCATCTTTCCAACACACTTTGAATAATCTCAATCGGATATCGAAATAAAAAAGTTATGATCAAAATACCAAAAGCTGTTCTAGGATAAACTCTGCGAACCTGTGCGCACGAGATTGAAATTTTATTGACTTGACAGCCATTTGGATCAATGGTGCACATGCGACGATTATACCTGTGTCCACATGTTGGCCATTTTCGTAAATAAATCGACAGTTTCTTTTCACGATTCAAACTCATTTGGAATCCAAATTGGACCCGATTTTGGCCCATTTTTCGACTCTTATAAATACAAAACAAGGGTTGTACATGGATAAAAAAAACTCTCTATTGCCTTTTTGTACAAAATAGTATTATCAAATTCATCAAAAATGAGAGGTCAATTACTATATTTTGAAAGAGGAGATCAAGCAATAGCAAGGAATTGAAACTCAATTAAATCAAGATTTTAAAGAATTCAACTTGGACTTGAAGATCGATATCTTCTAAACTATTTCATGATTCGGGTGATATTTTTCTATTATTCTTTTTGTAATTTATATATTAATATATTAGGCTAGATGGCGCCAGGCAGGATAGTGATTATCCTGCAGGCTAGCTACATAATTCACATGGAGAGAATACGAACGAAAACATCCAAAGACATAGAATTCTCTGAAATTCAATTCAACTTTATTAAACTGTCGAACGATGAAAAATAACCCACAATTCGAGTAA